TCCCGACGTTCCGAATTCAACATATTTTTTACAAAAATTTCAACTTTGGGACACAGCATTCAAGGCACCAATGGAAGCAGTTTTAGAAACCTTCATGTGTTCTTTTTTCTTGGAATCCAATTTTTGGGAATTTCGTACACTAGGGGGCGCTACAATTTAAAGTACTGTCCATTTTAAACACGATCAATTTGTATCTAAAGTTATTGCATAAAATGTATTTCTGAAAATCATAATAAAGGAATGTGATCAGTGAATAGAACTTGTAATGAATTTTTCTGCCGTTCAATTGCAAGGTTTTCTTGGGAGGTCCAAGGACGACTATTTAAAAATCAGGTCAGAAAATGGATTCTAATTAGATTGGAACAAAACAAACTTCCTAACGGAAATAACAAAAATATTTCTTCAAAATTTATTTATAAATTATTTCTAATTTTAAATTAGACTAATTTCAATTATAAAACTCATGTTATAAACGGAATCTTAAAGTTTTTAAAACACATACTGAATACTAATTAAATTATATTCAACTTAAAGTAATTTGCGTTAGTTTTACGTCATATTAAAGAGAGTGTGATATTCTGGGAAATAACATCTTAGAAAACTGTAGATTTTAAAAGTGTGAATATATTCTTACTAAAACGGGATGTTAGTTTTTATTTCAAAAATCCAAGAAAACGATTTAACGTATAAAATTTCTTGAGGGCATAAAAACTATTTTGCACATACCATTACTTAGTTGGAGGTAAAGAGTCATTACTCATGTGGATGATTATGTATTCATGACACATTATAACATTTATAGGTGCCATTAGCTGATCGGTCTATAAATATATGTTTAAGAAAAAAAAAACAGCAATAATAACAAATGTATGAAAATAACAAATGACCGAATATTTTGTATTAAAAAAAATATATATAAAAACCATGTCAACAAAATTATGCAATTATGATAAATATATACAACGCATATAAATTGTAGGTTTTTTTTATAAATATTATTTCCCCCAAAAATTCGCATTATTTATTTTAAATAAATCATTGACTTAAAATTTACATGCCGTAAATGAATATTTAAAATAGAATATTAAATAATACTTAAATGTGAATAACATTTATAATTGATTTATGTGATTTTTTTATTTCTTTCCAGTTTACGTTTTTTTTAGGGAGCAAATAACTGCGGTCTGCGGTTTTAAATAAGGTAAGATTGAATTTAAATATTTTAAATCAAACATTTTTTACTTGAGAATATTTGCACAGGTGTTTTTTTCTTTTTAATTGTAAATGTATTGTCTTTAAGATTGTTTTAAAAGAAAGTGCATTTAATTAAACACGATTGTGAACAAATTATTAAAAGATTGTTGTTATCGCTATAGAACTATTTATTTAGTTAATAGTTTTCAAGTTAATTTGTATGATAATTAATTCTAAAAGCTTTTTAAATGTTTGAAGTAACTAAATATATTTAGTTACACACATGATATTGTATATCTTGGTATAATTAAACAAACCTTTTTTAAAAAAGGCAGACATCTTAGAGACATTTTGAATATAATTTGAAATAAATTTCAATTGGTAGAATAATTGATACAAATTATAACTTGGCTTAATTTAACACCTCAAAATGTTGGCCAGAGACATCTAAAAGTGCTTTCGTTTATTTTGTCTGACAAAAATTAAAGCCAATATTTGGTTATCTAAACATTACTGAAAGTTAAATTAAAGACTGTAATGGAGTTTAAGAGATACTTAACCGAAATCTCTTCTAGTCCGAGGTTAGTGTGATGTTAGGATGAGGTGAAAAGGGGGTGACATTTCTTATCATCAGACTGTATTAAATGTTTGCTCAAAAACGTCAGACAGTTTAAAGTTTTGTAAAATCACAGCGGTTCCTTTCTCTAGCTATCTTTTAAGATAAATAATTTCGATTTTTAAAACAAACGTAACATTTTTATTTTACTACGTCAAGATAATATTATCTGAACTTATATACAAATAAACAAATATTTAAATTTGTGCTTTTTTTGTCTTTTTGTAAAAAAAAATCTTTAGATAAACTTTGGACTTTTTTTATGAAACAAATTAGCGGTGAATAAGAAATATTTTATTTTATAGATAATTAAGATAAGTTTAATAATATATTTAGAAATTACTGTTTTCGTAATGCAGGAAAAAAATTAAAACTTCAAGTTTGATATAGGAAACTAAATGAGAATATGGCTTAAATAAAACTAGAACTTTAGCTCTATAAATTCTTATGATTAATAGATAATTTTAAAAGTTTTATAAAGTTTTCGAACATAAGTTCGAATTAACGAAACACTTGTAATCGTAACATCGTCATGTACATTAATACATGACAAATTTCAGCTTATTTGGCTATAATTTTGACCTTAACTTACCTTGACCTTGACTTAACATATAATAAACAAACTAACATCTTAGCATTGAAAGTAGAATAAAACTTGTAAAATATGTTTATACAAGATATTCTAAGGTTGTTGTTTTTAATTTCAAATTGAAACTTTTGACATTCTAAATTTGTTTATACTAAAAGCAATATAAATTAAAAAAACCCACTTAACGATTTTGAAGATTCTAACTATAATAGTTTTCCAAATATACACGGAAATTATTACAAGTTTGCCGATTTTTCCAAACGTTAATTAAGATTCTAATGCAAACTATGCAAAAAAGTGCATAATCTAATAGTTTCCCAGTTATACGGAATTTTGTATTTATGTAATTCATATGGGAGGTGCCAATCCCCCATTGAAAGTTCGCCCATTTTGCTCTAGATGTGCACATGAATGTCAAAGATCTTCATGTAAAATTTTAAGATTTTAGTTTTAATAGTTCTCTAATTAATTAATATGGGGGTTCCAAATCCCTCCCCGCTGACAAAAGTTCGCCCTTTTTTCCCAAGAACTCTAACTGTTGCAGTTTCTGAGATATGCGACTTTTAAGACTAATTTTGTATGTGGGCGTGACTCCTCGCCAAAGCAAAAAAGGGGAGTTTTTGGAAAAAAAAATTAAAAAAAGTTTAAAAAAATTTAAAAACATTTTGTTGGAAACAATGAAGAAATAGCTATCTGAACTTCTTTGGACAATTTTTGCTAGGACCAATAGATGAAAAGTTACACTGATTTGAATAAAATGTCCAACTTTGACCCCCGCTAAGTTCGGCAGTACTGGACCGATAGAGCTGAAAATTTGTGTCTGGCAAATTGGTGCAAATTTCATCCAAATCGATTTTTTGAAATGGGTCACTTGACACGATATTTCCCATATATAGATAGATACATAGATATAATGTGTATTGGGAGAGTCTTCTTTGAATGTCAGAATAAGCGAATTGAAATATGACAGTTCAGTATTGCTGTTTTTACTGAATTTTCGAAAAATTTGCTTCTTCTAGTAAATTTTCGAAAAATTTGCTGCTTCTAGTAAATTTTCGAAAAATTTGCTGTTTCTAGTAAATTTTCGAAAAATTTGCTGTTTCTAGTAAATTTTCGAAAAATTTGCTGTTTCTAGTAAATTTTCGAAAAATTTGCTGTTTCTAGTAAATTTTCGAAAAATTTGCTGTTTCTAGTAAATTTTCGAAAAATTTGCTGTTTCTAAAAAATTTTCGAAAAATTTGCTGTTTTTAGTAAATTTTCGAAAAATTTGCTGCTTTTAGTAAATTTTCGAAAAATTTGCTGTTTTTAGTAAATTTTCGAAAAATTTTCTGTTTTTAGTAAATTTTCGAAAAATTTTCTGTTTTTAGTAAATTTTCGAAAAATTTTCTGTTTTTAGTAAATTTTCGAAAAATTTTCTGTTTTTAGTAAATTTTTGAAAAATTTTCTGTTTTTAGTAAATTTCGAAAAATTTGCTGTTATAAATTATCGATAAATTTTCTGTTCAAAAAATTTGCTGTTTTTACTGAATTTTCGAAAAATTCGTTGTTTTTACTGAATTTTCGAAAAATTTGCTGTTTTTACTGAATTTTCGAAAAATTTGCTGTTTTTACTGAATTTTCGAAAAATTTGCTGTTTTTACTGAATTTTCGAAAAATTTGCTGTTTTTACTGAATTGTCGAAAAACTTGCTGTTTTTAGTAAATTTTCGAAAAATTTTCTGTTATAAATTATAGATAAATTTTCTGTTTTTAGTAAATTTTCGAAAAATTTGCTGTTTTAGTAAATTTTTGCTTCTGGAAAATGTACGAAAATTTTGATATTTATCAAAAATTCAATCTTGTGTCTACATCTTAAGAAAAACAGCTTGCCTTTGTTGGGCTACTATTGAAGTTTCCTGATTATATGGCCTAATCAGATCTTAACATTCAAAATTATTCATACTTCGTAATCTAAACTGATGTCTATAAAAGTTACTTGTCGTAATTACGAATGTTATTTAAATATCAATTATTTGTTCCTTGACTTTAAAACTTTTTTTGGTAGATTTAATACAAATTAAAATTTAATTATTTCCACATGCCAAAATTTATTAATATAAAACAAATTCTAAAAATAAACAAACCTTTTGGCATTGTCATTAATGTTATTACGATTTAAATTATCTTGTTATGAATATAATGGCTATATATATTCTTTTATTAACACCTATTTCTAACAATGAATGACTAAATTCTCACAAACTATTACCAAGTCTCTGGACTATTATTAATTTGCTGATAAAATACATTTGTTCTAAAATCGTTTAAATTAATCATGTAATTCAAGTAAAGTAAAACTATTAATTAATACAAAATAAGCAGTTCAGCAACATGTATCTAAACATTGAAATGTTGCCAGCAGTGAGTTGCTAAAGTTCTTGTTATGGGTTGTTTACCTTAACACATTCTGTTAAATTATTGAAATACACATAAATAATAACAAGAATTTACTTTAACTATAAACAGTTGTCCAAAACTAGATTGTTTTTTTTTAGTAGGCAAGGACGTTTTTTACTATTGAACAAAACTATAAAAGAATGTGGTTTAAATGCACAAAGACTTACCTGTTGCACAAGAATTTATTCGGCAATAAAATTGGTTATTTATATTAAGATAAATATGAATACTTGGCTGTCCTTTTGTTTTTAATTGTTCAAAACTGTAGCGTCACTATTTCACTTTTTTAGCTGTTGGGCTGTAAAATGTAGCTTTTTTTTCAAAACTGTAGAGTCACTATTTCACTTTTTTAGCTGTTGGGCTGTAAAATATAATTTATAATTTGGCACGTTGTGAAATTTGTATTTTGTTATGAATTTTTATTGCAGTTAATATAATAAAATTTAATCAAAATTATAAGATTGTTTATCTTGTATTTATTTTGTCACAAGATTATAACTAAACAAATGTTTGAAGAGATAAAAATCAAATGATTTACGTTTTAAATAGTTATTTTTTTAATTAATATTAATTTTTATGGTTTTTTTAATTTTAACTGATTTTTTACTTGTTTTATTTTACGTTTAAAAAATCCTAAAAATTTTCTTTTTTGTAAATTTTGCAAAATTAATTAATATTTGTTGTTCAGTTCTTTACTGATTAACGTTTAGGACGCGACTAACTGCTCAACAGTTAGTAAAACCGTATATGAATAAAAAAAATAATGATTCGTTTTTGTTGTACGTTACTGTTTAGTTGTAGTAGCCCAGTTAAAAGCACAAAATAGCAAGAAGAAGAAATAAATGATCGTGTTAACCAAATAGCAAAAAATTACTTTAAACAAACAGCAGCCAATCTCTTTGCTGGCAGCAACAGTAACGCATTATCAAATACACAAACGATCAGTAGTAGCAACAGCAGCATGTGTTGCTCATATTTCAAAGTTTCGCTCTCTGTGTATTTCATATTATATTTAAATATAAACAATAACCCTTTAAGTGATAATTTTTATTGGAATGTGTGTATATATAAAGAAGATACTATTATGCTGCTATTGTTTTATCTTTTTGATTAAGTATTTAAATTTAGTTAATGAGTCTAATTCTAATTAAAGATTAATTCATCTTCCCCAGGGAATTCCCTTTGATTTCGATTTATTTGGCCTTTGAAATTAAATATAGGCTATTACTGTATTCTAATAAATCGTTTTTAGTACATATTTTATAGTTTAAAAATGTTTGATCATTTTCGATAGAAATTTAATTGCTAATTTGAGTTCAGTAATGAATGTTGAAAATAAATCTGTGTAACAATATAATTACTTTGTATAAGCAAGATTATGATTAGCATATAGACTAGACTATTAGACTAGACTATAGACTAGACTATAGACTAGACTATAGACTAGACTATAGACTAGACTATAGACTAGACTGTAGACTAGACTATAGACTAGACTATAGACTAGACTATAGACTAGACTATAGACTAGACTATAGACTAGACTATAGGACTAGACTATAGACTAGACTATAGACTAGACTATAGACTAGACTATAGACTAGACTATAGACTAGGACTATAGACTAGACTATAGACTTAGACTATAGATCTAGACTATAGACTAGACTATAGACTAGACTAATAGACTAGACTATAGACTAGACTATAGACTAGACTATAGACTAGACTATAGACTAGACTATAGACTAGACTATAGACTAGACTATAGGACTAGACTATAGACTCGACATAGACTAGACTATAGACTAGACATAGACTAGACTATAGACTAGACTATAGACTAGACTATAGACTCGACTATAGACTCGCCTATAGACTCGACTATAGACTAGCATATAGACTCGACTATAGACTAGACTATAGACTAGACTATACTAGACATGACTAGACTATAGACTAGACTATAGACTAGACTATAGACTAGACTATAGACTAGACTATAGACTAGACTATAGACTAGACTATAGACTAGACTATAGACTAGACTATAGACTAGACTATAGACTAGACTATAGACTAGACTATAGACTAGACTATAGACTAGACTATAGACTAGACTATAGACTAGACTATAGACTAGACTATGACTAGACTATAGACTAGACTATAGACTAGACTATAGACTAGACTATAGACTAGACTATAGACTAGACTATAGACTAGACTATAGACTAGACTATAGACTAGACTATAGACTAGACTATAGACTAGACTATAGACTAGACTATAGACTAGACTATAGACTAGACTATAGACTAGACTATAGACTAGACTATAGACTAGACTATAGACTATAGACTATAGACTAGACTATAGACTAGACTATAGACTAGACTATAGACTAGACTATAGACTAGACTATAGACTAGACTATAGACTAGACTATAGACTAGACTATAGTAGACTATAGACTAGACTATAGACTAGACTATAGACTAGACTATAGACTAGACTATAGACTAGACTATAGACTAGACTATAGACTAGACTATAGACTAGACTATAGACTAGACTATAGACTAGACTATAGACTAGACTATGACTAGACTAGACTAGACTATAGACTAGACTATAGACTAGACTATAGACTAGACTATAGAATAGACTATAGAATAGACTATAGAAGACTATAGACTAGACTATAGACTAGACTATAGACTAGACTATAGACTATACTATAGACTAGGCTATAGACTAGACTATAGACTAGACTATAGACTAGACTATAGACTAGACTATAGACTAGACTATAGACTAGGCTATAGACTAGACTATAGACTAGACTATAGACTAGACTATAGACTAGACTATAGAGTAGACTATAGACTAGACTATAGACTAGACTATAGACTAGACTATAGACTAGACTATAGACTAGACTATAGACTAGACTATAGACTAGACTATAGACTAGACTATAGACTAGACTATAGACTAGACTATAGACTAGACTATAGACTAGACTATAGACTAGACTATAGACTAGACTATAGACTAGACTATAGACTAGACTATAGACTAGACTATAGACTAGACTATAGACTATAGACTAGACTATAGACTAGACTATAGACTAGACTATAGACTATAGACTAGACTATAGACTAGACTATACACTAGACTATAGACTAGACTATAGACTAGACTATAGACTAGACTATAGACTAGACTATAGACTAGACTATAGACTAGACTATAGACTAGACTATAGACTAGACTATAGACTAGACTATAGACTAGACTATAGACTAGACTATAGACTAGACTATAGACTAGACTATAGACTAGACTATAGACTAGACTATAGACTAGACTATAGACTAGACTATAGACTAGACTATAGACTAGACTATAGACTAGACTATAGACTAGACTATAGACTAGACTATAGACTAGACTATAGACTAGACTATAGACTAGACTATAGACTAGACTATAGACTAGACTATAGACTAGACTATAGACTAGACTATAGACTAGACTATAGACTAGACTATAGACTAGACTATAGACTAGACTATAGACTAGACTATAGACTAGACTATAGACTAGACTATAGACTAGACTATAGACTAGACTATAGACTAGACTATAGACTAGACTATAGACTAGACTATAGACTAGACTATAGACTAGACTATAGACTAGACTATAGACTAGACTATAGACTAGACTATAGACTAGACTATAGACTAGACTATAGACTAGACTATAGACTAGACTATAGACTAGACTATAGACTAGACTATAGACTAGACTATAGACTAGACTATAGACTAGACTATAGACTAGACTATAGACTAGACTATAGACTAGACTATAGACTATACTATAGACTAGACTATAGACTAGACTATAGACTAGACTATAGACTAGACTATAGACTAGACTATAGACTAGACTATAGACTAGACTATAGACTAGACTATAGACTAGACTATAGACTAGACTATAGACTAGACTATAGACTACTAAGACTAGACTAGACTAGACTAGACTATAGACTAGACTATAGAATAGACTATAGACTAGACTATAGACTCGACTAGGCTATACTAGGCTAAGCGAGACTATATACTAGACAATAAACTAGTCTGTGAACTGGATGCTGGAATTGCTACATACATATGAAGATATTTTTAAAAGAAACTAGACATTTCCTATATTTGACGCATGTACTGATGTTTTTTTAGAAAAACAAAAATGTATGTTATTTTAAAACAAAAACAATATTATCTAACTAGCTAAAGTATTTAAATGCTAAAACGAGTAAGCAATTTAAAATCTAATAACATTAACATCTAATGATCGTACGTGTAGCTATGTTCATGCACAGGTACATACGTGTTAATATTTAAAGGGTTAAAACAAAATCTGCGTCAGAAATACACAAAGTGGGTTTCTTTCTTTTCTGGCCGGTAAATTAACATCAATAGAGAAAAGTAGCTATGTAACTGCATGCTTCCTGCTACACCACAATACAAAACAAAGTTTTTTATTATTATTTTTTTTTTAATTAAAGGTTGATGTCAAAATTGTTTACAAAGAAAGACAAGTTATTGTTTATTGATAAAATAAAAAAATATTGCATAAAATAGATAAACAACTTCTTCTTTTCTGGTAAATATGAGTATTTTTTAATACTTATATTCGCAGAACTATCAATCACAGTTTAATATTGATTAATTGAAATACTTTTTCGTATTCATCATAAAATTTTAGAGGGAAAAAAATAATAAAAAATACTTATTTGCATTAATATAAAATTTACAACGTTAACAAATTAAATACTTAGAAAACAACATTTCCTCATTTAAAACAAAGATGTACTACAACTTACAAAATAAAATAATTAATTTTTTTTTAAATAATTTTAACGTCATTCAACTACTTGGGGGAATCTAAGTTAAAGGGAATTTTTAGGTCATTGTCAATGTTATTAACACTATTTTGTATTTAAAGTTTTTTACTTTGCTCAGTTTAAAATTTTTTATATGTAGAGCAAAAAATGTTAAATTTAAAAATTTAATTTGGGAATATACAAGTTTTCAGTCATGCGTTTGTTTGGCTTATCATCAACAAACAGTTTTGTTAACTACCATAAACAATATCATAATTAATTGTTGTTAATTATGTTGTTAACAGACGATTGAGTGGTGTGTCATTGCTCACATAACGAGATAAAAGTAACAAATCATTTTCAATTTATGATCACTGATTAAGAAGTGTGTCTGGCTACACAATTGTTTAATGTTACCAATATGGTCTTTCTAAAATACAATATTAGCTCATTGTAAAGCCTTTAAAATCATCTCAATGAATGAGGTTCATATAGCAACCGTGTAAAGAAACCTATTTATTTTACGGAAATATGTGTATAAAAGAGCTTCTTAGCCAAAAACATGTACCGTAATCAAGTGTTTTATATGCATCTCTGAGCAAATGAGTGATCTTGAACAACAGTTTAAAAATGAGTTTAAAATTTGTTGTTTTTTTTTTATTTACACACAGTTTGTTATTAACTTGTAATTAAAAAAAGAGAGATCTATAGAGCGGATCTTTGAGTATATGTAATTTAACATTTGTTTATAGACTCAGAGAAAAATATTCGTAAAATATACATAACTTGTTGTATTAAAGTTAGCATGTAATTTTTTCAATTCCATAGAATGTAAAGTA